ATCTATGTGGTGGCATTTACTACTATCTAACTGCATCAAAACCAAATTCTCAGCTTCCTATCTTCTATTCCGTATCTTCCAATCCGCTCCTCTTCTCCGTCACTCTCCAAGTGCACCACGGTTCGCTCTCTTCTTCTTCAGTTCTTTTCTTCTTCCGCTCTCTTCTTCTTCTATGCCTGCTCTCTTCCTCCAAGCCACTCAAAGGCCACTGTCCACTCTCTTCATCTAAGCCCCTCCTCTTTTATGTAGCTCTCCACGTGGGCCACTGTCCGCTCTCTTCATCTAAGCTGCTCCTCTTTTATGTAGCTCTCCACGTGGGCCACTGTCCGCTCTCTTCATCTAAGCTGCTCCTCTTTTATGTAGCTCTCCACGTGGGCCACTGTCCGCTCTCTTCATCTAAGCTGCTCCTCTTTTACGTAGCTCTCCACGTGGACCACTGTCCGCTATCTTCATCTAAGCTGCTCCTCTTTTATGTAGCTCTCCACGTGGGCCACTCCGCTCTCTTCATCTAAGCTGCTCCTCTTTTATGTAGCTCTCCACGTGGGCCAATCCGCTCTCTTCATCTAAGCTGCTCCTCTTTTATGTAGCTCTCCACGTGGGCCACTCCGCTCTCTTCATCTAAGCTGCTCCTCTTTTATGTAGCTCTCCACGTGGGCCAATCCGCTCTCTTCATCTAAGCTGCTCCTCTTTTATGTAGCTCTCCACGTGGGCCACTCTGCTCTCTTCATCTAAGCCGCTCCTCTTCTATGTAGCTCTCCACCTGGGCCACTGTCCGCTCTCTTCATCTAAGCTGCTCCACTTCTATGTCTCCGCTCCAGATCTCTTCTCCGCCTTCTCTCTTCTCCATCTTCTTTCTTCGCCTTCTCTGTTCCACAGTCTTCTATCTTCTTCGCCTTCTCTCTTCTCCATCTTCTTTCTTCGCCTTCTCTGTTCCACAGTCTTCTATCTTCTTCGTCTTCTCTCTTCTTCGCCTTCTCTCTTCATAGTCTTCTCTCTTCATAGTCTTCTCTCTTCTTTGCCTTCTCTATTCTCTGTCTTCTCTCTTCATAGTCTTCTCTCTTCTTTGCCTTCTCTATTCTCTGTCTTCTCTCTTCATAGTCTTCTCTCTTCATAGTCTTCTCTCTTCATAGTCTTATCTCTTCTTTGCCTTCTCTATTCTCTGTCTTCTCTCTTCTCCAACTTCTCTCTTCTCCGCCACACACTATCACATTACTATCTACCACAGTCTACCACCACATTTTTTTAATGCAACAAATCATTTATTGTTCCTTTATGTCATTTTGAATAATTCTGTTTATATTTGCTTACATTGCCTAGCAACAGATTTTTGTTCACATTCACCAACCACATGTATAATCCGTAATTTAAAGTGTTCGATGTTTCCCCAGTAACTTCCCTGTACAATCAAAATAAATAGTTCACTGATACATTATAGTTGTATTCAGGGCATGCGGCATGCGTACATCTAGCGTACTCACCATCTAGAGAAAGTTAAGTTTGGTATTGCTGGACTTCAAACAATGGTCATAAGTTGGATTCATAACCTACAAAAAAATGTTTGTACTGGCTAGCAATATTCTGTAGCTAAATATCTGACAAATATCTGAATATTTGTCATTATGAATGTTATGTAGGTAGCTATATTTACCTACTTGTAATGTAATATAATTAAGATTTTTACCACATAATAGTACAAAATTACCTTGTCACCTAATCTGGTTTTAGAAGGTCCGGTTTTACATTTATTTCATGCATTTTAATAGATTTTATGTTTTTTTTACCAACTTGAAACCTACGGGGTGTTTCAAAATGACTCACCCGGTTTCAACGCTTTATAACTTTTATACTATTAAACTTACCGCTATAAAATACGCATCAAACGAAAAAGCAACTTAAAGAGTTTATGCCTACCAAAGACACATTATTTAATAAAATCGATCCAGCAGAACTGTGGATTTAATTGTACAAAGTTAAAAAGTAATCTCCAACTTTTTTTAACACTAGAAATTTGGAGGTTACTTGACGTTTTTGCAAATAACTTTTAAATGGTGAGGAAATCGACCAAAGTGGAAGGTAATATTCCGAAAGAGAATAAAATTTCCTACTATCTACTATTATGCATTTTTTGAAAATACTCAAGAAAGGTACCAAAAATTGCTTAAAAATGGAAAAAAAATTTAAAATCCCTGTCTTCAATGTAGACAATAGACATAGCAAACATTAAATTTCACACTTTTTTATTTTAAGGCAAATTTAGGCTACATTTATTAAGTATTTTAAAGAAATGCATAGTAGTAGATTGTAGGAAATTTTATTCTCTTTCGGAATATTAACTTCCACTTTGGTCGATTTCCTCACCATTTAAAAGTTATTTGCAAAAACGTCAAGTAACCTCCAAATGTCTAGTGTTAAAAAAGTTGGAGATTACTTTTTAACTTTGTACAATTAAATCTACAGTTCTGCTGGATCGATTTTATTAAATAATGTGTCTTTGGTAGGCATACACTCTTTGAGTTGCTTTTTCGTTTGATGTGTATTTTATAGCGGTAAGTTTAATAGTATAAAAGTTATAAAGCGTTAAAACCGGGTGAGTCATTTTGAAACACCCGGTATTTAACCAAACACAATGATCCATAAAAGCACTGCTTGTCCTCTTAGTGTAAAAGTAAAAGTACCAATAATTCCCTCTAAATAAAGGAAAACTTTATCAGCAAACTGAAATGGTTCAGTTTGCTACCAAAGTTTTTCCTTTATTTAGACTGGTCATAAAACACACCCAAAACAAGCTCAGATGAAATAGGATGAGAAATCTAGCTTGCAGTATCCAAAACCAAAATCAATTGCTTATAGACAAAACTAGATGAAATAATGATACCCCCTTATCTAAAAGCTAGTTGAGGTTCAGTTCTCATAAGTTCATGTATGATAATACACCAAGAGTTACATACACTTAACCTATATTGGTATAGGTTAACCTATTGGTATTGAGGAGTCGGCCCTTAAGCTATTAACATCATATCTTTTGGGGAGAAAGCAGAGAACAGTTATCAGTGATAGTTCAACCCGTTTTTACTCGGACTGGGCTACAGTAAAATTTGGCATCCCTCAAGGATCCATTTTAGGACCCACACTCTTTCTTATATATATAAATGACCTACCAGCACATATTTCCAAAAGGTTCGTACTATTTGCTGATGATACAAGTGTAATAGTTCAGGAAAAAACCTGTCTGCATTAGAAAACACTTTGAAATTAACACTGAAAGATCTGAAGAAATGGTTTGAATCAAATGGACTTTTACTAAATGAATCTAAATCTAACATTATGCAATTCCACATCAGAATTAACAATAACCACAAACTCAATGGAACGGATTTTAATATCACAGATAAATATAAATTTCTTGGAATTAATATAGATCAAAGTTTTAATTGGAAATCACACATTCAATATTTGGTTAGTAAGTTGACTTCTTTTAGGTTTGCAATTAAATGTATTCAAAATTCAGTGTCACTAGCAACATTAAAAATTATTTATTATGCTTATATACACTCTCTGCTTTGTTATGGAATTGTTCTGTGGGGAAACTCAGGGGATATTAGCAAAGTTTTTAAAGTCCAAAAAAGTATTATTAGAGTGATGATAGGGGCAGAATATGGATCAAGCTGTCGTCGTTCTTTTAAGGAATTAAAAATAATGCCATTGACTTCTTTGTACATCTATGAAACAGTAAATTTTGTTCATTGAAATAATCCACTTTTTGATGAATTTAGACCCACTCATAGTTATAATACCCGAAACCCAAATCTGCTAAATTATCCAATTCATAAACACTCTCATTTTGAAAAAAACCCCATCTATATGGGGATTTGTCTATATAATAAGATCCCCTCAAAAATAAAATCCTATACACCACAAAAATTTAATATTTGGACTAAATCATTATTGGTGGAGAAATCATATTACTTCCTGGCAGATTTCCTAAATGACCGTGACATTAATTGACCATAAGTTTATGTAAAATATGACACAGAATGTTTTTAATTGTTTTTTTTCTCTGATATTGCTTCAAGATCTTTATTTAAATTTGTCTTTTTTCTAACTTGTCTGAATTGGTAACCATCTCTCAATTGTGCTGTTCTTGTTGTATTTTGTTGTAACTTATTACTTTTAGTTTTTATAACTTATTGATTGACCATGCATCTGTTCACCATTGCCTTTGTAATGAAGAATGTTTTATGCAATAAAATACTTATGACTTATGACTTATAGAAAGGTCCAATACCTATCCAGCGACTCTAGTTGCGTGGCTCTAGCCACACGGCTGTAAAAGTTGACTACTTCAATGCAAAGTAAATGCAACCTATTCCTATTGAGCGTCTATAGCCGTGCGACTGAAGCGACTAGAGCCCGCGGCTAGAGTCGTCACGACTTGACTGCTCCGTGAGCAGACCAGTTGCTTCAGTCGCGCGGCTGTGACAAATTTATAGTTTATACATACGGAGTTTGAGGTGTGTACCTTCACAGGTGATTCAAAGTTGATGGAACAGGTTTGTCATACGTTTTCAACCCCAAGCACCCCCAATACTTGAAGGAGATTTCTCTGAATGAATAAGAATACTCTGAAACCCCTCTTTTCGCCGTACCATGAACAATGGATTAGGATGTTCATTGTTTTTTACCATGGACATTAATATTTCCTTTTCCTCCTCTTCTCCAAGTAATATATTTGCTACCAACTGTGCTTATTCCATGACGGTCAAGAGTGCAATTGCACTAGTCACTAGTCGTGGGAGTCGCAGGAGTCGCGGCATAGGAATTAAGACAAAGCGTCTTGAGCCGTAGTGCTCTAGCCGCGCGACTAGAGTCGTATCAGTCGCCACATAGAAATTGGACCTGAAGAGTAATATATCTAAAGGTATCTGAAATATAACACCAAATTATGATTATATAAAGTTTTATTATATAAATATTCTGGTATAATGATTAATCCACCTAAATGCCTTTAAACACCCTTGGTAGAAACACTAGTTGTCTAAAGCTAATCAACAATTTCAGCTTTGGTTTTACTGTTACGTTACAATTCACAATAAACCTATTTACAAAGTATTTACAGTATTGTTTACAATATGAGCGGTTTACACATATTCACTAATGGACGATTGTTAACTTCAAACTATTTTTACTAAACCATTGATTCCTTGATATCAAATGGTACTCGTTGAACTATAACCTTTTAAAGATCTACAAAACTGCATATATAAATCTAATTCTACAGAAAATTTTACAAAATGTTCAATAATACAAAGATTGAAGAGTCCACAGTCTATCGTGATGTTCAATCAATCAACATCCATCCAGCTTATGATATCTTCCTCCCTGTAAAAAGTTGACAATTATGAATCAAGCACTAACATGACTTTTCTATGATATGAATGTTACATTTTTTACTCATCATAATCAGGGTAAAATTTTTAGCTTGTTACGGTTTACTAATAATAATTAATTGAATTCAAATTTTAGACATAAGTCTTTATTTTACGCTTTTACTAAGCTATTTTAAGGTCTAATTACAATATTTAAGGATTAAAAAGTTGCTGAATTATTACATTACTAGGGTGTAAATATTAGTTAAACTTTAACCCATTGGGGAAGGAATTAATCCGCTACCTGCAGCACCCTCTGGCGGCAATTAATTTTACCGAATTTGTAGACTTTTACTCTAACTGCTATAGAAAGAAAACCTTAAGTAATAAATTAATAATTATTTCACCGTTTTGTTCACAGTAAAATTGTCTACAGAAAAGTGATAATTGGATAGTCAAAGTTCTAAACAAAAAAAAAATATATATATAAAGATTATAAAAATAAAAATTTTAAAAACAATATTTTGAAAGTAAACTTGATATACAAATTCCAAGATTAATCCAGACACCAAATAACACTACTATTATAAAGGTCAATCGATTCCCTACGTAGAAAAATCAAAAGTTGTGTACTTTTATAAGTAGTAACATTTTTAAAAAATTGTTTGTTTACCTTACCACAGCTGATTTTTGGTGATATGTGGTTACCATGGCAACACAAAATTGTTTGTTATTCGCTAAAATAAATGTGTAAATACGCAAATCAAGAAGCAAGATATTTATAAACATTATAATAGTAAGAAGAAACAAAAAGGGCGAAAAATAATAATAACTAAATAACTATGGCGCTGCCTAGCGGTGACACGAGCGGCTCTCGCAAGTCGGCCGCCGGGCCTGCAGCGGCCGTACGAGTAACGCTCGTAAGTCGGCGCCAATGGGTTAAAAAACCATTTAGTATCTAGTGAAGTGGGTTTATAAATTATTTTCAAGTAAAGAACCCACTGAAAAATTATTGTGTATGAATTGTGTATTGATACATATGACATAAAACAGAAGGGAATTTTGAATTGTACATAGTTTACTTGTATGTAAATTTTTTAAATATATTTACCGTAAAAATGAAAGGAAAAACTAAATCTACTTGATTATTAATTTAAAGCAAATCAAAAATATTTTAACTATTTATTTATTTTGAAAACTGAGTTTTATTACAATAAACTTTGCCTATTAGACATAGTAACAAAAAAAAAACTTAAATTTATGATATAAATAACATAAAACAATCTAGAAAATCTATGCTTGGAACCGAATACCAAGTAAGGTATAATTTATTGTTTCATACAATATATTGGGCGATAAATATAAATTGCAATATTGAAGTTTAAATATTAACTGAACTGTATGCGAGCCATAAGAATCAATATTCAAGCTGAACAATGTATCACTTCTGAGCGCTTCTCAAATGAAATATGATCAAGGAAACAATGTCTTTTTTCTCGAATATGTGTTTTAACAAATATATTTACTTTCTTTCACATTTCTATTGATGAAATATCAGTTTGTGTAAGAACATATTATGGTATTCAATTTCCAATATTGTTCAAGAATCATTGTAGAATGGATCCATATCCTTTCTAGAAATATATTTTAGCAATGTTCATATAACTGTAACTTTTTGTCATGCTAGATATTCCATAGTCAGATTTTTATCATGGGCAGTATTCATACTGACTTAAGTATATTCTTCTTCTTCTTCTTTCTTTAGTATATCCTTCTATTCATAGAAGGATCTTCCCTACTAAAGTCAGAACAATTCTGTATTTAGAGTGTATTATTTAATCACTGAATAAAAATAAAAATAATTTGTTGCCTACTATTATTAGATTAGATAACAGAAGGGCAACATGGGTGCAGGCCCGCAGTTTGCAAGTGATACACTATGTGCCACAGAGAAAATTGCGCCCCTCTCCATCTTGTGGGGGAATTTTTCTCTATGTTTGTCCCCAACAAATGTAAAACTTCTTGCCCATTTATAAGCGGCCACACATGAATGACCGATAAAATATAAATTTAGATATGGTTTACAGTAGTATTATACCAATGCTAAACGATTGTTAAAATACAATTTAGATAACCTACCGAGTGTAATAGCAGAAGCTTGTTTATAGAATTTAGAATACTTTGAAAAATGTAGTTATTATTGTAGTAAAGTGATTATTTAGTTTGAAGTATAACAGAAGATATTTTAGTTCATTTATACAATAGCCTATAAATAAACTAAAATATCTTCTGTTATACTTCAAACTAAATAATCACTTTACTACAACTATTAGTATTATTACGAATCGTACAATAAATAAAACTATATTTTGGAAGTTGTCCGCCAAAACACAAAGGTAATTGGTTAAGATCCTGATCCTGCTATTAAAAGTCATGTACGTTGTAGGTTGTGTAAAAGAATCTTGACTAGGCTATCCAACTTAAAAAAGCCCAAGCAAAGAAGTAAAATAAAATAAGATTTATAGTAATAAAAAACATTGCATGCATTGTAACTCATCTTGAAAGATTTCCCTATTTAAAGCCTTGAATTTGTCTTTGATTTAAAACTATTTGCATTCTCTATCATAAAAAATTACATTATAAAAATAACAAAACAAATTAAAAACACCTATAATGTACAACAGACAGATATAAAATGAAGTGATATTCATCTGCTAAGCCACACCCAGTTTCTCGTTTGTACCACGGCTAGGTAAAAGAAATAAATGAGGAGTAGATAAACGTTGCGGTATGTAGCACACCAAACAATTAGAAAACAGAGCTGTTAAATTCTTCCAAATATAAATTAGAGATGGAAAAGGGTTTGTCCAGACTTTCCGCTGTGGTGTACAGTCTTACGGTTACGAGAATTACAAATGTGGCACTGCATCTCCTACAGGTAGTGTCAGTAAACTTGGAATACACACAGCTGAAGATTGGATAATTAAGACATGACTAACTGTACTTTGCTGGCCCGTGTATACATCTACTTACTTTTGTTTTACGAACGTTTCTGTCCTGTTCACTGTCCCGGGGAGCTACTGACATACCCAGGGGAAGGGGACTCAGACTTCTCAGCTACGGAGGTTATGGAAGTGTAAGGTGAACTCTGTCAACAGAACAACACTGATCAAAACATATTCCATTCAGAACTTTGAGATGTTATGGATTTCTCAGAACTATTTCAAAGTACCAATCTATATTACATAGTCTATTCGATGCAATAAATAGCCTCTTGATTAGCATTTTTTGTGTTAGTAGAGTTATACAAATACAATAAAGTAGGTACGGTATTTTGAACTAAAATTTTCCAAATAAGTTATGTAAACTTTTATTTACTAGCCAGTAAATCGATTTTGCCTAGTCATATCTGTATTACAGGGCACATTTGGAGACGGTTCCGAAGTAAATTCATAAAGCAATTCATTATCTAATAAATAAATGTATTCCAAAAATGGAATACATCTCCCTTTAATGCTATAGGTGAAAGAGTAAGCACCTTAGTGAGCTCTGTTTACAAACACCTACCAAAAGCACCACCACCATTGTAACACCCATAACACTATTTATAACTTTTATAATTATTAACTAGTATAATACAATTATTATTGCTCATGTAATACTAAATTACGCTATTTCTGTCAGACAGGTCAAAACAATATCTTTGCATAGAATATATTTTGGAGATAAAATACCATCATCAGCGTCAAAACCTTATCCGCATGTCTCGAGTAACAGACAGATTACTAAAATACCTTTGGCGCATCCATAGCTTCAAAGAAGCGCCACTTAGATAAAGATATAGTGGTATTTTCCAACTTATAGGTTCAATTCAATAAGTATCTGGACTGATTTGAAAATCTAAATTTTTTGCAGGTACCATTACAATGACTTTAATACTCTTCAAAATAATTGTAATGGTTTAAATACCTGCATTCAGTAATACAAAAAGTCGCTTGTGACAACTATAGTTTCGATTCACAGGGAATCATCTTCAGGCCGTACAAGGCGTCGTTATTCATCTCCGTATATGAAGGTCGTCATTTAATAAATAAGTACATAGAATACGAACACACACGAAAACGCACATTGAGTGACGAACATTTAACATTAAAAATACCGAGTACTCGGAGACACGAGGCAGGTGACGCGACCGGGTGGAGTTTGTAGCTCGAACTGTACAAAATACTCTTCAGAATACATTCTTCCTGTTTCGATACATAAGTTCAGCAGGTTCGCCACTCGTTAAAAGCCCAGTGGGAGTCAGTTCACAGAATGCTATTAAGAACCACTATTGCCACCGCTTGAACTGCCTTGATGGAGTCAAACCGCTGTCCTTTCAGCTGCCTCTTTACTCGTGGAAATAAGAAAACGTCAGGTAAATCTAGGGTGAAGTAAAGTGGCAATGCCAAATTTAGCCAGTAGCTGCCCCACAAGAATTGTACCATGGCACGGCGCGTTATCGTGGTAAAGTTGCCTCTTGTCACACAAGTGTTATGCGATTTTGCAGGCGTGTCAGTACTGCATGTAAAATGCAGCATTTACAGTCATTCCAGTAGGCACAAACTCCTTGTGAACAATGCCACCACATGGATAAACAAAAATAAATCAATCAGTATGGCTTTTGATTTTTGATTTGGACATCCGAGTGTCAAAATATATAGGTCCTACACGGCGCGGGGACTTATCTGTGTGCTACTCTGAACTTGAACACTTTGTCTCTGAGTCATACTGGAACGCCCAGGTTTCATCGCCAGTAATAACGTTGTCCAGAAAATTTGGATCGTCCTAGACGCAGTCCAAGACTTCCTGCAAAATATTCCAGGACTTTCGGCACCAGCTTCGCACAGACTTTTCTCATCGCCAAATCCTCTCTTACGTCAGTGAGAACGGTTCCTTCTTAAAGGCCGGTCTTCTCACTGATTTGAGCAATGGTTAAATGCTTGTCAGAGTCCAAAACTTCTTTCACTTTGGCCACCTGATCCTCGGTTTTAGCAGTTGTCGGGCGTCCGACAAGGTGCTCTTTTGTACCACAGTGAACCAGCCCCGATACTTATTGAATAGAGGGTGTAATTTTTTACACCAAAGGTTGTTACAAAAATAAATATATAAATATGATATCCACAGAGTATTGCCTCACCTGCTCGTCACTCTCTAGAATGTAGCGGTCTATCTTGTGATACTCTCTGCCTGACCTGGGTCTTAAAGTGGTGGCTGCCGGCCTTCCTAGCCTGTATAAGCAAGAGAACATGCATCACTAACTTTTGTAACTTATGTTGAATTTTTAAGTACTATACAAAGGTATAAGTAAAACAGAGCTTTTGAAGACCAGCAGTTGAATTTTGGGTTGAATTTGGCTTTAAGCACTTTTAAGAAGTCAACAAAACTCTTTTTCATGCCGACATAAATAATTTTGCTACGATAAGCTTCTAAAAGATAACATACAAGTTGTTAAAAGTACCTGTATATCAATGGTTCAAGGGTGGTCAATGGTGAATCTTCAAAAGTTGATTTAAAATTTTAAGTAATAAAAGGTGAATCAAGTTTAAAATAGTATGTTCAACAGAGTAAAAAAGTCTTAATGTATGTGATTGTTACCTTAAAGGCATTTTCTAATGCTTAACAATGTAATGGAGACAATTGCACACTTTTTGTACAAATTGAATATAAATAGAGTATGAATGTAGGATAAAGTACGATGTGTATCTAGGATGTGATGTGTTACTAGGTTCAGCGTTTTAGCCAATAATCCATATAAAAAAAGCATATAGTTTAGAAATTATTAACCACAGACTTTTTCTCAGGGTCAAATCAGAAACTTATTTGAACATTACGAGATTACTAGAACATTTATGACAAATCGGCTACACTACTATATTTTTGAATTTAGATACAATATAAATAGCTACTATTTGTTGATGGAATTTTATAGTAAAAATACAGTAATAGTTTCCTTGTAGAAAGTTACTAACTGGAGACAGTCAGGTGTATCAGAAGAGCTGTAGGAAGACAGTGAGAGTGTCTCAATGTAGTCTGACATGTCAGAAGTACCACTGCTGGTGCTGCGTGAGTCTATATAAGGCATGGCACTGCCTGGGCTGATACACCCTAAGAGGAACAACATTTAGAACTATTTAATTGTCAGTGACTGAAATACATTCTGGATCAATCTTTAGAAGCTTGAAAAAAATACTGTATAGTCTTGAGATACCTATTTAAATATTATAGTTTGCAATGTGTAGATTACTCCGATCCATACAAGACGTCTAAAGAATTCCCTAATTACAATAACAATCAAATATTAATTTGTTTCTGTCTACAAAAGTAAATATCAAACATTATTCCAATATATTTTTCAATGTCTTAAAAGAAAACATGCTTGAATAGGCCCTTTCGTATGTTAAGTGGTACCAAGGTTGTACTTCTTAGTCACCACATGTAAATTTATCGTGGTAAGAAAATACTAAAATAGAGGTTCAATTTTTGTGAGACGAAGAATTACTTAGAAAATCAGAGAGTTACTTAACATTGATCACAAACAATGTAAATTAAATTAAATCAAGTTCATAAGGTATTAGTTTGGATAGCCCAAATCCACAATCAGTTAGGGATTTTTGTCAATATTGCAAGCTTACATGGGTAAAAAAGTTTTGAAATTAGCTTAAGTAACATAAAAGATTTTCACTGTGGTGTTTTCCTTGCTTTTGACTCTTATTCCCAAGCCCTTTTCTATTCCGATAAAAGGTCTACACTGAAAAGTCCTTAATCCCTTGTGTTCTATCCTTAATGACAACTCCTTAAGTTTCAGAAAATATTTTCCTGCTTACCTTTGGCATCCCGTTTCACAAGACAGATAGGTATTTCAGCTTCTGCAGATGATGACTTGAGGGGTATATCGATGTGTTGGAACTGGAAAGTAAGTTCTCTTAAGGGATCAACACTCTTCGACCTTCTGGGAAGTGATGAGTGATAACAGTCTGTGAAGTGCAGTGGCGTTGTCTTCTGAAGAGCATAGTGATGTCTTCTAGTAGACATGGACGTTGTCAAGGGCAGTTCAAACTCAGCAAAGTCTCCTCCTCGGTTCTTCAAGGAACAAATAGAAACACCTGAGTCATTTGAGCTTGAAGAGTCCCGGTTATGGCCAGACTTACACGGAACACTAGAGGATCTCCGGACATTCACTGGAAGGTCATCGTTTTGATCCTTCTGATCTTGTAGTGTAGGAACTTCATTTAGGTTGTTTTCATTCATCTTATTTTCTAAGTTGGGTTTATTGTTTTGTTGTGAACTGTTAACATCTTCAGATTTTTCCATTTTGGTGTTCATCTGTACAGAATGGCCAGATATTGAGTCCACAGAGGTATTTTTACTGCTCAGAGAGTTTTGCGTGTGGTTAGTTGAAGAAGACGAGACAGTTTTCTCAGTGATTGAGTCTAGTTCATCAAAGTAGTTTGAGGAATCGGCAGAACTAGATCGTTTTCTAGGTAAGGAGTTGTAAAGAGTTCCGCTACTGCTTACTGAATCATTTGCACACAAGACTCTTCTTCTTAAGTAAGGGCTGTTGGCAGCTGATATGGAGTGGTTGATGCCGAGCAATGCAGATCCAGGTACTCTTTGAATATCAGACTCCAACCTTCTTCTGCACGCTTCTGATAGACCTCCAGAAAGAGAGGGTGTGCTGGAAGACATGTCACCAAATTCTCTTTGTAGCCTTGTTTTAAGTAGATCGTGCTTGTTCTGGCAGTTAGACACAGGATGCATTGGGAGGTACCCAGGAAAGTATTTACCCCCCACTAACTTGTTTGCCAAGTCCTGAGTAGAGTTTTGCTGAGATGTTGGCTCCATCATCAGATAGTCGTCTTGCTTGCTAGGTCTAGGTGGTCCACCAGTGTTGCAAGCATGGCCACACTTTGTACAGAACTTGACACAGTTTTTGTCAACCACTTTGTGTTCCACATCCTCGTTCTTTATCAACTTTTCTATTTCTTCTTGAGTTATTCCAGCTCTCAATAACACCTCTTTAGAGTTTTCATAGTGCTCGAGCGACTGGGCAAATTCTAAATTTGCATAGTTTTGGTAATCATTGTTGGTGTTTGATTCTTCTTTGCACATTTCTGGAAGATCCTTTGGGTCGATTACTTCTATATTAGCATAGTTACCATTACTATTTATTTCATTTTTATCTTTTTCTTCATTACTAATTTTCTTGTCGTTGCTATCCTGATTGTTGAGGATGTTATTTTCTTCAATTTTACTCTTAGACTTCTTTGATTTGTCAACGATTGCGTAGATTGGCATTGATGATGTATTTACAAGAGGCATTCTTCCTTCTTCAGTCTGCCTCACCTGAAACACAATATTTGTTTAGAATGTTTATTACCAATGTTCTAAGCCCTAACTGCTATAAGACAAATTAATTAAAAATAACCATTATCAATCCAAGTGTTAAGTATGAGGGTTATCCAGAAAGTAGACTACGTTTTTGTCTGTATCCGCAAGGAGCGGGGCTAGTAAGGCCATCTTGGGGTCAGATCGTTACGCAGCTCAGTCGGCATCTAGTCATGCTAGTGAGAGGTTTCTGCTGTACTCCGTTGAGATTGAAATGTCTGTGTTGAAACTGTGAAGTGTGTGCAGTTGCGTGAAGTTTATGGGGAAAACACTATCACTAGGTTCAGTGCGTCAGGGGGTCATAAAATTTAAAAATAGCCAAACTAATTTTCACAAAGAAGAGGGAAATAAACGACCCAGCATTGTGACCGCTGAACTTGACGAAAAAGTCAATGCCGATGTCTGTAAAACTTGAAAATTCACAATAACGGAACTCTCTATGGGTTTTCCACCAATTTCGCGCAGTTTGTTGCACGAGATCATTACCGAAAAGCTTGATTACCACAAGTTTTGTGCAGGATAGGTACGGAAAATCTTGACAGAGAGTCGTAAAGATCGGCTAATGGCTGCTGCACTAACGTTTCTGGACGCTTACAATAAAGCTGGTGACTCACTACTCGATTGCCTCTTTACTGGTGACGAAACATGGGTCAAACATATAAACTCCAAACTGTAAGACGAAATTGCAGTCAATGCAGTGGGGGCACACAAATTCCCCCAACCCAAAAGATGCATGCACATGATGTCGGCAAGGAAGGTGACGGCGACTGTTTTTTGGGATAGGTGTAATTTTTGTGGAGTTCCTGGAAAGAGGCACTACAATAAACTCTCAAAGTTATTTCCAAACTCTAAAAAACCTTAGAAGAGGGATACAAGAAAAGGGCAGGGGAAACATAAGCTCAAAAATATCCTGATGATTCACGACAATGCCCGGCTCACATGGCAAATGTCAATCGTGATGTTCTTGAATCTTTTAAGTGGGAGTTTCCTCATCCACCGTATAGTCCAGACCTGGCACCGAGAAAATTTTACTTATTCTCAGCAATGAAGAAGTGGCTGGCTATGCAGCGTTTTGAGGGCGACAAAGCTACGAGAAGAGGTAAAAAAGTGGTTGAAGGCGCAGGCGGCCGAATTCTACAACGAAGGAATTTCTAAGGTCGTTTTTCGCTACCACAAGTGCCCTAATTTGAAAAGAGACTATGTTGAAAAATAGTATTTAAGAGTGTCTTTTGTTTGTATTGTACCTATATATTAAATATTTTCACAAGACTTTTTTATCCTTGATTCCAAAACATAATCTACTTTCTGGATGGCGCTAGTATATGCCAGAATTTCATAAAATTGTCTACATAGTGCAGACAATTTTACTAATATGAAGAGTAATTAAAGAACTGGAATAACCATTGACAAAAATCTATCAACAGACACAACTTCAACACTCACTCTTTGCAGCACCGGAGAAGATATTTCGCGGAAGTGTGAAGGTTTTTGTATGGTGTCTGACCAACATGGAACCCTGTGACAAAGACAAGAGCCTTGCCTTGAGGACTCATCCTTTTCAACCCTGTAACATACAGTTATGGTAAAACCAATGAGCAAGATTGTGTGTAGAAGTATTACCCAACCACTTAAATACTTTAAATAGCAACACTTTTAACCAAATCCATTTCAAAAACATCCATTTCAACAAATTCATAGCTGTCTTTGAGAGTGGGTGTAATCTTTTGCACATAATTTGAAGAAGATTAAATCTTTGAACTTCTCTAGAGGTAAACAAAAAAATATTTGTGAATAAAATAGTACTACAAAATGTGCAATGGATTTATTATTAGATCCCCAAATTACAAAGACAACTGTTGTATTCCTGTGTAGGTAACCTGATTTTAGTACACCTGATGGTAATGTTTATTGAGAAAAATTTGTTCACCAACAAATTATTGAGTGTATCAAACAACAAAGGATAACATATTTATTTGAGAACAGGGAAAAAAGTAATAAAGTATTTGGTTCCTTGAGAACACAAACATCCTTGCAGATGGAGAATTGTCCTTGAGTACGTCATATTTTTATGGCAAACACAACAAATTGTATTGAAGGTTAAGATGAGTTAAGATTCAGTGTTGAATAAATGAGATTAGCACTGGATTATATACCATAGACTTAGTTTTTAGTTTTCCTGACTAAGATTATAATCACTCAGTGAAAGAAGCTATAGCTGCATCTTTAGCCAGAATCATTTATTAAAAGCCCCAATGATGGAGGACAGCTGGTTCCAGTTTTGATATATACTCCCTGCAGACACTCATACTCACCTGTGAGGAGCATGTGTATGATGCAGACAAGAGGAGGTCTTCTTCACAGCCAGGGTTGGCGGAGGAGGAGTGTCGTAGTTCCCGTACTCCCCTACCAGGCTGTCCTTAATGTTTTTGGGTGTGTCGTAATAATCGTCTGCAGCATGACTCATGTAGCTGATCTTGGATTCATCCTGTTATGAGAGTTATGAGTGTATAACATATGTCAAAAAGAATAAATATTATTATATACAGCTCAGTTGTAAGGACTTATTGGTAAGATTGCTGATTCATACTGACTGCTTACACTATTTTATCACTGTGGATATCACCCCAGACTAGCCCTTAAAAATTAATTTGTTTACTGTAATAATAGGTATTATTTGTTTTTTAAACTTAAGATTTGCACATTTTAGGATTTAGATGTTTAATGTAGGCTTACCCATATTAGAAATATTATCTATACCATACATTTACCCATGTCCGTTATTGACCCTGTCAGCGCCCTACACAAAACTAATAGTATTGCTCCTTTAAAATATAATGAGGGTGTCCAACAGCCGGGGAAACCGGAAATTGTGGTAGAGTTTTTTTTTTTTTTTTTTTACCGGGAATTATTATGCGTGAATTTTGTATTTCTTCCTGGAATTTTCAATCTAACGCTATCGCGCAGTGACATATCTGTGATTACCATTTTGGCCCGATCGGGTAAGACAATTATTATGTCTACATGACCTCGGGAGACGATATAGATATAATGATGGCTTCACGGCTGCAAGGAATGATCAGAATTTTACCGTGATCGCCCAAAACGATGATAATGTCCCCTCGACGGCGGGAGATGATTACCATTTTGCCGCAACTGCGGGAGATGATTATTATGTCTACACGACTGCGAGAGAGGATAATGATGTCTTCACCGCCCCGTGGGATTACCAGAAGTTTACCACAATCAAATGGAAATAGAAACACCATTTTATTTATTTTCCGATTTTTTGGCGCCCCCCAAAAAAGCCAATTGCCTCGCACCCTAGGCACATGCCTACCGTGCCTATTCAGTAAATCGACCCTGCATTAGCCTAAATGACAAATTAATGAATGGCAAATTGTTTCCTGAATGGATTGTCTTGGGATCGGTAAAGCTTCCAACGTATTTGAAGGTGAGCACTACACCAACAAGTTCTAGTATGGTGATTGTAGAATGATATTTAGAAGAAAATTATCAACACGACTTCACATTTAATATATGTGTTGTCTGATCCCGATTCCCACATACGGAGGATTTTAATTTCCACCTAGGGACTTCCAATTCTAATCAATTTATAAAAAAACGTTCCCGACAATGAATCACAAACATTAAACTGGCTAAAATCAGATAAAAAGATTATGACCCTTGGTTCCCAATCTGAGCACTCAATTAGATTCAACACGTTATAGTAGAACCCATGCATTTCTTAAAAATCTACTCTATATCAATTTGGAAAACTCGCCTTTCTCTGATTAGGCGCAGGCAGTGTCTTAGGAACGTCGTAGTTGTCGTAAGGGTTGGCTGGTGACTGATGATGAGGACAGTTACAAACTGGTAGAGGCATGGGAGGTTTGGGTTTCTTCTTCATGGGAGAGTTGTGTGGTGACTGAGATAGCTGCGGAGGTTTGGGAGGTCTGATGGGAGGACAACAAGAGCACCTCTCTGCTACTGTACTGCAGGACGAGCCACTGGAAGACCTGTAGAAACATCGGCTTGAGAATGATATCAAGGCTTAAGAAATCTTATCTTGTAAGTATGTACTGTGTATACCATAGAAGTATATAACATTATGGAATCTAGAGATTAAACTGAGTTAATTTTTAAAAAATCCTTTTTTAACCGCCGTTTTAGTTTAGTGGACTTGTAAAGGCATTTTGCCACACTACCCAGTAAGCAGATTCTTCCTGTACTCTTTTTGACCTAGAAAGGGACTGGTTAAGTCATCTGTAGTAGAGCAAGTCCTCAGCTTTGCCTCGTAGGAGAAACTTGTCTCACACGCTCGGTTACTTGCTCGGTATCACCTCCCACGCGAAGTTTGGTGTACATATGTATGGCTAATACCACACAGTACTAGATATTTTTTGATATTTTGCGCATAGGATTATGAAACTCTTTGATTTCATTCTTGCTACTTCATTGACGTAACCAGTGTAAAATTATTTAAGCACAGAATTTTTCTGATGATTGCTTGCCAAGTAGTACGGTACTGGCCATATTTCTTTGTGTATTAGTTCATTAACCATCATCGCAGCTTCTTCCCACCAGTTTGGAGTTTGGAGCTGTCAAAAACTATTTTAGATCAAACAAGAGCTCGCCCCGTGGTCGAAAACTCGACCAAAAGTTTGTATTGTGCAAACTTCTCTATTTTCACCCCACGCTGTAAATAAAACATGTGATTGGAATTTCTTCCATTTGTTTAGATTTTCTGTTTATATTTTGTTGTTATTTTGTCACCAACATGGCAACCCATAAGGTCCATGTTAATTTTTTCAAATTTAAAATATATTTTTTGTGCTCATATTTTAGCATATTTCAATGTATAAAGGGATTCTGCACATCTACAGGAAATTATCTTTCATTTGGAACCAACCGCGTGTAATTTGATCCAGTAGTATGGTCAGGCTAGCTGTGATAAGTTTTGCAAGAGTTTTTTAGATACTTAAGTATTATACGGAGGCCACCCTTATACAACGCGCTGCGGCGGTTAGGTTTGGTCATCATGAAGCTTTTATGACTTGTCTGGTTCGATTCATAACGAAAGTAGGAAAGTCCTACAAACATATTTATAATAGACCAACCTAACCTAACCACCGCAGCGCGCTGTAAAATAAGTGGCCTCCGTATAATACTTAAGTACCGTTTTTTAGTATATAAGATTTGTTGTCAATCATGCTCGCCTTTAAGTAAATGTGTGTTTTTATGTAGACCATTATTGAGGGACAGAGACAACGGATATGAAATTTATAATTGAGATGTTGTGCAAAGACAACAGTGATTACAGACCACCATTTGACCAAGACAACCTATGCTAGTCCTTCCAAAGACAAAATGTTGATATTAAGTCCAACTCTCCTCTGAATGTGATCAAATCTGACCAAAACAAATATCAGATTTTTCTTCCTGCACGGTATTATGCAGTTTATTATGCTCATGCAGAAACTTAAGTTTTACCAAAGTAAAACAAAAATGTCTTCTTTAGAGCTCGTGCCATCATGTTATTCAGTAAGGAGAATTCAAAGAATTTACACTAATTACTTATAAAATGGGACAGTGTTTACAAAAAACTTAATTATCAAACAAAAAAATATTGTCAAAGAACTGTTATAATCTCAGTCAAATTTACCGACCATAGTTTATATTTAACAGACGACCTTCTGACTGTTATTAAATGATACAAAATATTACGTTTCACTATTATTTTTTACTTTTCAGATCTATGAATCAAATACTTTACCAGCAGTCTGAGGTAGTTGACAGTCTAGCCATAATGTCTGAGTTTTGTTGAACATTTCCACAGCTCATGTTGTTCTCATGGCCACAACCTCCTGTGAAGAAACCATTCATAAATAAATCAGATTTAAAGACATCAATTTAAAATAAAATATCTTCGGTCCTTACTGTGCAGCGTCTCTGTACATGCTTATTGTTAAATACCGATTCACCAAAGCTCAAATATGTACCTGACTCCGACGGACGATTATGTAGTCCGTAGATTGGATGAAATGCATCTAACTGTAATTTGCCCGAACTGAACTAAGGTTTCAAAATTAATTTGCACAATCTGCAAACATTCCTCTTTTGTAACTCTATTCATGGTTAGCCTATTATAGAAATTGAAAAAGTACTAGACAATACTGAAATGACGTAAGATAATAAACAAAAATCAGCTGTCTGATTTTAATTTGATTGTTGTGTTTAGCAATGCTACCAACTTTAAAACACACAACTAAAAACATCATCCTATATATTTAGAAGATATTACTTTATAAAATAGACGATAGTCAGCATTCACTAGTGAGGTTGCATTAAAGCCCTGTTTACACAAGGCCAGTAGACAGTCAAGCTACTTGCTTCGGGTAACTTGAAATACATTAGAGGCAGGTACAGCTCGTGAAACCTAAGCTGGCACTTGGCCTAGCGCGGGCAGTGTAGGCGGGAGGAGGGTCAAAGTAAGGAAAAGACAGGACTGCAAACATTTCCTCTATTTCTTGGGGTTGACTCCCCGTATATTATGTACTTGAGCAACTTCACATGAGTCGCGAGGACAGTTGACGCAGCCCGCATGACGGGACAAGATGTTTTCGAACTAGATGCTAGTAGTGATGGGCTTAGATGTCACGAGCTGTCACCTGCCCCATAACCTGCCTGCTCTACTGGCCTCGTGTAAGCGTGACTTTTGGACTAAAGACACTCTCTGGTTTGCTGCTCTCCAATTAAGTTACAATCCAAGCGATTACATTGTGTTTAATTCAACGGAACGTACCAAGATTGTCAGTATCCATGGTCCAGGCGGGTGTGAAGCCTGTGCCAGAGCCAGGAGGGTTGGTGACTGTAGAGGATCTAGACAAAGCTCCCAGCTTACTGATACAGCTAGTACACCTTCCCATGGAACTCTCTGGAATCCTGCAGCTCTCCTGTACAAAGTACAACATTTTGAAGTATTACCATTAAATATACACGTAGTAGAGTAGACACTCAATGAGGGTTACCGTTACCTGAACTGCACTGTTGCAGAGTAGCGTAAGCAGCCCAAATTACGCCACCTCGGGCTTGTCGGTAATGCAGTTTAGTTGATTTTTAACATTGCGCTTGTTGTAGGTTGTAAAATGTCGTTTTTGGTGATAAAATTTGTTTGTTTGGTCGTAGTTTTGTTGTTTTATAATGTGTTTTAATATTTTAAAGGGCTTAGAGGCGCACTGCACTACCGAGCAAGTACCGCAAACTGAGTGTCAGCGCTCCAAACTACGTTGCCAAAATTGGCAACAACTATTAGCATTTTTTGTCCCCTCTTATACCTGTATACCATTGGTATTACTATGATTTTAAAGTGAACCTTCAAAATCCAGAGATTATTCAGTAACTTAAATGTTCATATTTTGAATAGGGTTTTCCTCCATGTTATGTCCAAAACAAGTTTATGGCAGATGCACAAATAGTAGAGAGGATTAATTTAGTAAGAAAATGAATGATGCCCATGTATAACATCAGGCACCACTCGGGTAGCATCCGCCTCCCACATAGTGTCTGAACCTGCCATCCTGGTGGTTGCTGGAGTGATCTTTATTAACATTTTGGCGGCGGAGAGGGCCTACCAGCTGTGGCAGCGTAGTTATCAAGTGTAGTCACTTGAGTAGAGTAGTTTGTACAATTAATTAAAGTAAATTTGTCTGTTCTGATTGACTCACCCAAGTGAGTAGGTGTGGTTTATTTCAAACTATAAATTACTTGTATGTATACCTGAAGGTGACTGTTGTTGTAATCAGCCATGGATGCAGCATCTCCATAGTCGCAACTGTCAGATCTTGTCTCTGACGAAGGCCAGATTATAGACTCCTCAGCACCATGACTGCAGTTGCAGCACACCTGCAAATGACTGCTGTTAGTTGGATTGTTTTTGACGTATGTTGTTGGGAACAGTACAAAAAAAAAAATTTCAGTGCAATGAATTGTAAGTCTGTGTTGACTGCAGTGTGCCCAGTATAGATAGTGCTGGTAGTTGGTAATTTAAACCAGCAATGGCTGGCTCACCAGATTGTTTTTCTTCACATCTTCTTTACATTAATAAATTATACTTCCTGTGTACCCAAAAATCTACAGGCCCTACTAAACTTATACCTATGTACCCATATGACCTATGTAGGGCTCCAGGTTTGCAAGATGCATACTCAGTCATTGATGTGTAAAATGGCAGTGTCTGAAGTTGTATTCCAATGTGAGATGTTCCCACTCTCTATCCACCACAATTCACCATTACTCTAACTCTCTTTTTCTCCAGTAGGCAATGTTGTGCTTATTGCAACAAAGAGCAATAACCCACATTAAACCATAGGAAACATATCTTATAAATATAAATCTGAAAAAGTCTTTACGTGGAGAAAGATCCTAAAACGTAACACCATTCTACTGCATTCCCTTCAAATTAACTCTCGAACAAGCCTAATGAAGAAACTTGTTCATCATCCCTATCAATACCATCAAAGTACAAGATATTTTGTACAGTTATTTTCTCTTTGATTATGCACATTTAGTTGGAAAATATTTAAATCCTACATTCCAAATAAAATGACAAGCACCTTACCTCACTACCAGGTCCTGGGTGTTCAGAATGCAGCATCAAGGACTCCAAGCAACTGACATCAGACATCCTCGTCTCTGCTCGAGAGTGAACATTCCTTCTGGGACTGTCCATGGCTATAAGATGAACAAGGACCAATACATTAAATACAATTCAAGGATAAAAAATTATATTTGTTGTTTGTCACAAGGAGAGCCTTTGTTTCAGAAAAAAGAACATTATATGTTTCAAACCAATGTAAGTAGACCATTGCTTCGAAGAGTGATCTTAGAAACACTGTAAAATATCTCTACCAGTCAAATATGCAGGCAATTGGAAATAAATTTATCTCATTAAATTTAAATTCCATATTTTTCTTTTAATGAGAGTATAATGTAGTATCTCAACACCAATTTAAAATAAAAAGAAAACAATCACAAACACAGCATTGAGTTAGTTTTAAAATTAGTAATATTATTGGACTTTTCAATAAAAATCACTTTAAGCCTGGAAAGAAGAGTTTTGAAATGATGTGGCGGTTGAGTAGCTTTTTCTCTACCATATTAAAATCTTTTTTTCTTTGGCCAGGACTGTAATTCAAAATCCCAATGTTCAACGACTATTGGGTACAAATTCAAACCATAAAGCATAATGTGTACTCATGACTACAACAGATAACCTCACGAGTTCTGACATTTACCCGAAGAGTTCCTGCTGACGGAGCGACGGCGAGTGTGTAGCTTCCCTTCCGCTGCCATCTGGAAGGCCCGAGCAATGTCTTGTCCCTGGTCTGACACCAGGACGTACAACCCCTCACCTCTACCACACCGGGAACCTCCCTCGAAACAGAACCTGTTCTCTACAACTCCATACCTCCTGCAAAAATTAACAAGATGCTTTCTTTTTAAATTATTCAAGGCGATACAATTTTAGGTTTTGTCTTGTAAGGAAAGGGATTGAATCCTAATATAATCTTAAGTCAAATAATAATTCATTGGATTTTCAGGGCTGATCCAGAATGGTATTTTAGGGTGAACTCCACAACCAAAATTTTTATTGTTTGATTCCCCATTTTCTGTTTGACAAATGTAGCTCCCTGACTTGTTTTCAAAATGGACCGTGTATTGTACGCCTAGCTATAGAAACTTTTAACTTGCAAGACATGAATGGAATAGGTAACTATATTCTTGATATTTAAAATAGCTTCTTCTTTGTGTTTGTACAGATTATTAGAGATGTAAGCTGAGTCAAGCCAACTTTGTTGTGATTAGCAAATCCCCTGCTTGGATTATATACTGTGATTTATACAGATCTGATTGGAACCAATCAATTATCAATTAACATAACAATTATTTAAGATGGGAATCATGAATCTCCACAACAATGTTTGTGTTCTTATGTGAAAACAATGAAACAGCTTATTGCATTAGAAACAAGTAATCCTATATGAATAAGTGATCAAGTACAATGAAAGATGTGAGAATTTGGAGATTCTGGAAATGTTATCCCAGAGCAGTCGCAGCCCCAAGAGACAGATAACAGGGGAATGTTGGTGAGACAAAAACCTTATTTAAGTTTTGCTAACGAGTTGCCTATAAATTATGAGGTCTTCATCGAGATACCGCAGCCAAGTAGGCTAGATCAAATCGGAAACCAATGTCGTGTTTCTTAATTCATCCATAAATATTCTAGCCCATTTCATCACTATGCGAAGGTTAGTCTCGCCGTGGTGTTGGAAAACATTGTGAAAGAAATATTGTAGATTTTTATTGTAGTATAGTGGTGTTATATTTACCTGAGTTGTCGGATGAGCCAGTAGCCGACCAGTCGAGGAGGGACTCCTGTGGTCATACAGAACCTGTGCTCCTGTATGTGGAGTCTGGCAGGTCCAGGCAGGATCTTGCCTCTGGTCGGGGCAGACTGTATCTGGACCAGAAACTGCTCATCTGTAACACCCAGTCAGAAAAATGTAAAACACATGGCATTGAGATCGCTGTGATAATTTATTAACAGTAATTCATTAACCAGAGTATCAGGTAATTACGGGTTAATTGTTTCCATACCAGTGACCATTTTGAAGTAGATTTTGTAAGGAAACTGTCTGAAAACAGGTACGGTATGAGAAGTATTGTTACTATCTAATTGACTTATCATCAATACTAGCCCAATGACCAGGTGACAATAAAATGATATAATAAATGTAATAAAGTAATGAAATAACCTATTTTAGACTAACAATTACACACACAACAAACATTAAATGCATTCAGTACTAAATTATCCATTTAAAAAAATTTAGGATACAATACAGTGATAACATTTTTTTCAAAATATTATTATAACCATGTTAAGGCTAAGAGTGTACAACATTCTTTGAGACACTAATTAAAGTTTGAACTTTGTTTATGTTTATTCATTTATGAATTACCTTCTCCCAGATTGTTGGCTATCTTGACTTGCCACTGTATCAGTCTCTCCCTGGTGTCAAAGGCCAGAACTACAGTCACATCCTGACAGATTATAGCTATCGTGTTGGACTCCTTGTCAAGTGTGAATCCTGAAAACAACCAATCTAATTAGAAATATTAAGTGTCAATAAATTTAAGTATGAAAATTCTTAAATAACATTTGGTGTAAATTTCAAATACTAAAAATATTTGGCTGTCCCTCAAATCAAACAAATATACGGTTTGTTTACTTGTAAAATGTATACTGGCCTCATACAACACAATCAACTACTTTAGTAGTTAAGAGAAGAACAATCAATAGCATCTGTTTGTGATCAATTTCAATTTCACACAAAAACGTGTATACAAGCATAGACAAAAAATAGACTATCAGCTGTGCTACGGTTACAATAGGTTCTGGCGCACACCGCTGGGGGTGCCATGTAGTTACGGCGGACGCACTACGTAACTACACAGCGCTCCCAGTGGTGTGTGCCAGAACCTATGGTAACCATGGTAACAGCAGCACGGCTGACAGTCTTAATTTAATTCTTTTTGTCTATGATACAAGCTAAACATGATTAAAAAGCCAGTTTACAGACTTTCGTATCTGATCGCTCTTCAGTAGTATTAGGGTACGATAAAATTATTTAAAAGTAAAAAAAAAAATATTTCACTTTTTGAAAGTTTTAAGTTAAGTCCATTTTTATTGAACTAGCTGCTATAATAAAACTTCCTACACACATAGTAGATAAAAATTGGAACAACATATCTTTAGAAATGAAATAACCTTATTAATTTTTACTGACAAATAATCAATATTTTCGTTATCAAAAGATTAACTTCAAAACCTTTAAACCCAGATTTTTTATTTAGTCACACTTGAGACAAGACAAACGAACAGCCCAACTCAATCAACTGTGGCATTCACAATGTTTAATTATGTCCTGGTAACAAATTACTTTTACACTTTATTGGCCTCAGTAAACAAGTTCGAAAGGGGAAGTTGTTGTGTTGAATTGGCTCCCAAAATGTACAGTTCAATTAACTGCCACTGCCACGCTAGCTACTTTATTCTTGTAGCATGAAACCTTCCCTTTTACAGGATAAAAACACTTGAGTGATATTATGACAATTGGCATACCCCTTGGTGTTATTATCAACGAGTAAAGCGATTTTGTAAAATTTACCTTCATTCATATAAGAGAAAATCATATTGTCAGAACTGTAATAAAAACAATTACAAATACATGTAACTTTTCCCCACCTGATTGCAGCCCCAAAAAGTGCTGTAGAGAGAGAGATGCCTTGGTTTGTCCTTGTTTGTATCTGTCCTTGCTGTCCCTGTACAACTGTAGATGCAGGCAATCTGGAACAGAAGGAATAAATATTTAATTTCAAATCATTTGAAACATTAAACTCACTAGTGTTTTTAAGAAGATACAAAGGCAATACGTAATAGGAAAGTTTAAAATGGGTTAGTACATATAGTTACTGCTATCCTAATATCTACTGTAAAAAAAGATATAAACAAAAAATCTATTACTTAAAATATTTAACAACGATTTTATATTTCATGGTATGAGATTGAAGTATCCCCATTTACATATAGGCCATGCCAAGCCAGCCATCCTTGCCACAACGGACATAGTTCCGTTGCCAGTCAGATTTTTCAATCGATTTGAATTTTGACTGGGGTTTTGATTTAACTAGATACACTTAAAAGGGGGTTTACTGTACGAAGATGGTAGTTGTGTGTGACCTTTTAAAACTAGTGCTATATTTATAAACACTTTTTAAACTTATTTAGAAAACTTTGGATTATACTAAAATACATTGCTGACTAATTCAACTAATACAAATTTACTAAACATCTTTTTCAGTTGAGTTTGTATTAATACTGATTTAAGAAATTATCAGGCTTAGAAGATTATGATATGTAAAGAAAGCAATAACTCTCTATTGCCTAATATTGTAGCCTCTCTGTAACCTTATATTATTTTAACCCCTTCCCACTGGGAACTAATTATTTAACTACTTGAATCAAACAATTAAAGTAACGTACACTGCCAGTAAGGTAGTTTCGATGTAGTATAAAAGTCATTGCATTTTTTCTCATTCACCAAACTACACAAGATCAATAAAGTGCGAAAACATGTTTCTAACACGTTTACCCTCTTTTGTTTGAATACAAAGTGTGAATAATATAAACAGATTTAAAAAATAACTAGTGTACATGTTGCTCGAATTCGAGCAATTGCAAAGTATTACAGGAGTTATTTTAAAACGAATAACAGTCATATTTACCATTAATTTAAAAGAGTCAACTCAAGATTACCGGTATGTAGCTCAGACCATTTTTATCTTCGTTATTGATAAACCTAAAGCATTCCTGCCGGGTTTCTCCTTCTCAAAATGCCTCGCTGTACAGGCAACACAGGTCATTGATAGAGGGCCAATATAGAACGAAAAGTCGTTTTGGGGTAGTGTTAGGGCGCATTTGTAACCTAATAGTTGAGATTGTCCAGGGTCGGGTGCTGATTGTGATGAGTTAAGCCTATTACGCGCCACGGTTCTGTAGCTGTGGTCGTTATCACGATTGTCGATTACGCCTCCTGTCTATGTTTCGTTGTCGTCACGTCGGAGGCATTTAAAAGAAAAAAAAACAACAAATAAACAAATTATAGCTACACAAAACAACGATAAATGCACAAATTTAAGTTACAATCATACTAACACGATCCTTCATAGCGACACGAAACAACGATAAATAGGCCTACACAACTTTAAGATACAACCATACTAACACGATCCGTCTTGGGGGTTATGTTTACACAAACTCAAATAGTAAATAAATGTACTCAATGCGTTTCATTGAATTTAAAAATAACAGCAATTAAATTATACAGCTGATCAAAATGTAAACAATTATGTTCTCCATAAGGATTACATGGGAACTTTCAAAGCCACTGGGGTGGAGCCCAAGGGACTTTTTAAAAAATGTAAGGCCAGTTTGCAAATCTACGCGACACGCTCTTTCCAATGAGACGTCAATGGATAAAATCTGTTAAGAAATGGCGGAGGAGTTCAACCGACAAAGTTTCATGTAGCGTATTAATTATATAGATTTGTGTATACGCTGAAACTACACAACGGTACAAAATTTCTTATTCACTTTAGAACACCAGAATAACTTAGACTAAACTAATAAACAAGTCAACAACAAAAACAAAATAAAAAATACTTTCAAGGACAATTCCCCCCCCCCCCAATACTTGATAACTTCTCTATCAACCCTAATAGGGATTGCCATTTAAGGGATGGTTTAACCAGTTCTCCGTGGTTATGTGGTTTAGAACTGTCCCCAACCCCTGTGGCAAGCGGCTCCTTATCTTGTGCTTAACTCAATCTGTAACCATTCTCCATTTGCCGACAATTAACTGTGATTCCGTTACTCTAATGGAATTGTTACCAACCCTGGAGAATGTGGCTTTAATTTGTCTATTGCAAAATATTTTACGCCTTGCAGGAAGATTAGTATTTCTCAAACAGTTCTTCATGGTTATTATTTTTTCATTCATAGTTTTGTGGATCTAGAGTTTAGAGAGGCTTTGAACCACTGAATAAACAGATTATCAGAAAGATAAAATTATGCTGGTTAGCATGAAGTAAATTGGGCCTTACTTCATACGTCATTTTTCATTTAAAAGTAGTTGAATAAGAAAAAATAGCATTGCATTCTTTCAAAAATTACCAATTTAATGTATAATTTGTCCTATATGTTTGAGCTTTGTATAACTTTCCACAGTAACTTAAGTGTATCACATAAATAAAACGATTTTATTACTATTAAGAATAAACATGTGTGTGGCTTGCTGTTTCGAACTCACAAACTTTAGGTTATGTTGGCCATGGGTCTAGCTAGAAAAAGCTAATGTAACTAAAACCCTTTTAAAATTTGTATTTTGCCAATCACTAAAGGTTATGGCCTATCCAAATCTCACGATATAAAAAATACCCTCGCCACAGCAAACCTGCAGACTTAAGCGAATTTCAAATTCCCTGGCTGGATTTCTACTAAAACATTCCCTAAAAATTGTCAGATTTATTTCCTATTTAATTGACATTAATTTTAATGAGTACCTTGGTTTGCTGGGAAGATATTGAGATGTGTTTTTTTTATTGCATAGTAATTGCTTAGTATTAAACAAACAAAATGTCCTAATTTGTTTTAAATATGTCCATAAACAAGCAAACTACAACAGTTTATTTATTCTCCATACGAATAACATGGGAGTTTTAAAATTTACAATTTGTTAAATTATCTCCGTAACCGTTGGGCATAAAACGCTTATTATTGAAGAAACATTTATTGGATAATAAACGCTTAAATATACAATATTATTTTTTTTTAAGCTCTTCAAAGTAATTTGGAGAGAAATTATGAATTTTTGTGTTTTTAGGGTCAAAAATGGGGAAATCAATTTTTACCCCATAAACCCCAGTTCCCATAGTCCGATTATGCTGATTTGCAAACTCGTTTGAATAAAAGTAGGTTTACACGTACCATGAGACCTGCGGTAATAGCTTAATGCCTATATGGCAAATTCATGAATAAAGATCAAATTCGTTAAACATTTAATGATATTAGAATGGCAATGATTGAAAGAATATTATTAACACACATGGAGAGAAGTGATGTCTAAGTGTTTTATACATACGTATCTTGTACCTGTGACTGTGACACAGGGCAAAGGTCAATGTCATCATGTTATACAACATTATATAAGCAGTGTAATGGCATGTGTCTGAAAATGTTGTATTTGATATTATTAAAATTTATAAAATTGTACAATACGTTTATAATAATAATACCAACATTATATTTTACAACTATTTTTAAGTAAACTCAGTGTTTCACTGAACTTTTAGACGTGGGAAATTTTTTTCACTGCACAAAGTTCTGAAGAAATCTTCTTTAATATGCACTAATGATCCAATGGTTAGTTGTTATGTGGATTGAACTTAAGTATACAATTTATATCTGTAATTATTGTAATATCAGTACTATTAAATCCACCTATTATTAAATCCATGTATTATTAAATTTAGAATATGATTTTTAATTACTTGGATATGCAAATATGTATATTGTTGAATTTTCTGTAATAAACTATTTAATTTGTTGTGTAATAGGAATTTTACTTCAAAATCTTACATAAAACTTCTAATTGCGCAATAATTAATAATAAATAATATGTAGTTATCTTTGTACTGTACATTGCATAATATGTTAGTGACTTACGGTGACCTAATATTAGTTTATGAAAACTCAATTTTTAAATATTGAGAAAAGTTGAACCGACAAAACTATGTCAGAGCAAATTAATTAAATCAAAACAGAATGTCTGATTCCCGTGAGTTGTATACGTTTTTGGTCCTGGTTACGTTTCATTAACTAAAAGCTTTTCCAGAATTCACTGCTTCATCTTTCAGAATTTAAATGTTCAAATATATTGCTTATTTTGAAGAAGATAATTAAATATTTAGAGTAACTGTTAAGCATTTAACTTGTAAATTGACAATAAGGTAGATATAAATAAAATATTTAAAAACTGAAAGAATAGCTAAAGGCGTTCGTTCATAATTTATAATACTGATAATCAGCACAATTAATGTTTTACTGTAATCCAAATTTGTATTTTCGAAACATTTTACAAAAGGTAAAGATGGTGACATAAAAATGGTTTAGCACGTATTAATTAATATTTTTTTATTTTAACCAATTTAAAGTGACAAAAGTTGGCACTGATTTTCATGAGAAAAGTAAATCATTATTATTTCCTCAAGTTTATAGCTCAAACTTATACGTTTTGTATATACTTACAAAAAATAAGTTTATAAATATATATTTTTGATGCTTGACAATTATGTTGGGGCTTAGACAATAATTTTCGAATACGTTACATATACACACCTATTATCGAACCAAATAACAACCAATTAACATCATAAAAATTTAATTTACAATTAATTAAAATCAGAAATATTTATCCTAGAGTTGCTAGAGTTCCTAGAGCAAACCCAAATTTACCTTTTTAATACAAATTAGCACCGCTTAATCTGTAACTTTTAAAAGGGGATCAACATGTGAAAAATATGTTACAATTAATTTTAGTCGTTTTCAACTATGTACTCCAGTAATCTTCAGGTCCAAATAAAGAAAAATAGAAAAACAAATTCAAAATAATTTGTTTCGATAACGTAGAATACAAGGTTATAAACTACACCTCTGGTTGAAATAACAGAATGGAGTACATTAAGAAGTTAGATAAAGACTTCGAGGTAATAATCCAGCTATCATCTCAG